AAAACAACACCATAACACCTCACATCGCTGAAGAATATGATGGTAAACCTGTCTGGGATAACTTCCAGCCTACTGTTCGTATAAAATGAACAGAAGTTAAATCAAGAGCGAATATTATCCTGTGTAAAGTTTCGTGCTTCACTACACAAGTACATTGAACGGACGAGTCAGACAAAGTCGTTGTGGATCCCCACAAGGAGAGAGAGAGAGAGAGAGAGAGAACACACATACACACATATTTGGGGTCATCACTGCTGTACAGATGTGTTCCTGGGAAAGAGTTTCACACGACAGGATGACGATGATGACTGTACGCCTTCCAGAAGGTCTTCTACCACCAAAGTCACACAACCACACATGCCTGCATCAAGGACAAGTCCCTGAGCTGTGGTACTGGCTAACTGAGGCATACACAAAGCCTCACCTGCTCGGACTAATCTTGGATCAGGAGAGAAAGAAGAAAGCACTGCATGAATGACGGTCTTCAACACACACTGAACACCTGCCACTAGACATCAAGGTTAGACTCTGCATATATCTACAGTCACCACTACGTCTCCCTCGAAGTCCTCACACTCATATCCCCGCAGGACGTCCTCGACCTCCCTGATAGCTTCTCCTCGATGCTGGGGGCCTTATCGACCACCCAAGGAAACACGCCAGGCACAGGAGGACCCCAAACCTGAGACAGGCCAGTGATGGTAATGTGGCTGGTGTTGGTGGGTTACTCTCTGTGTCTGTAATCAAGTTTTGGCCAACATAAAGTGTTTTTATATATTGAAAGTAATTTTTTCTTCCATATTTTTAATTGGATTCAGCACTGTTAATAACCTTGACCTCTTACCTGTATCAGATAAATACCACTAACTACCAAATGCTACATGTGTGTCCTTCTGGTATATAATTTTAAACTTTTTACTTTTATTTTATAACATAGTCATTAAATATGGTATATATATTTTTATTTAGGATGTTGATTTGTATTGAATTTATTTTTGTAGCTCGTACCATTTTAGTTCAACAGGTGGTGGCTCTGGAAGACAGGGCTCCAGAGAGGTCGCTGCCAGGAGGCTGATGCCAAATGGCCAACATCGCAACAATGTACATGCCCATTGGCAAAATGTGACTACCAGGAAAAATAAACAAATAAAACTATTAGTAACTGATACAATTGGATTCCCTCATACACATACACACATTCCATACATGCACACCTTCACACACCCACCACCAGACTCCCCACACCCCCACACACCCACCACCTCCACCACCCTACCACCACACACTGGCAATCCACCACACACAAACATCACCACAACCACCACACACCCACCACCACACCCTCACACACCCACCACCACTCCCACCCCACTGACAACCCCACACATCACCACCACAGGCCCACCACCAACTCCATTACACTCCAACACACTCCACCACACCACACCCACCCACACCCCACCACCACACCCCACACCCACCACACCCACACCCACACCCCACACACCACACCCACACCCCACACACCACACCCACACCCACCACCACACCCCACACACCCACCACCACACACCCACCACCACACACCCACCACCACACCCACCACCACACACCACACCTCACACACCCACCACCACACCCCGGCCACACCACCACCCCACCCCACACACCACCACCCCACCCCAACCACCCACCCCACACCCCCACCACACCACACACCCACCCCACCCCACCACCCACACCACACACCCACCACCACACCCACACACCCACCACACACACCCACCACCCACCACTACACTCCCACCACCCACCACACACCCACACACCACCACACGACACCACACCCACCACCACACCCACCACCACCCACCACCACACCCCACACACCCACCACCACACCACCACACACCCCACACACCCACACCACACCACCACCACACCCCCACACACCCACCACCACACCACCACACACCCCCACACACCCCCACACACCCACCACCCAACACACCCACCACCCACACCACCACCACACCCCCCACACACCCACACACCCCATCACTGACCTAATCACACCCACCACCACACCCACCACCACACCCACCACCATACCCACCACACCACACCCACCACCACACCCAAACCAATTTACCATCAGTCATTTCCATCGACGTTAAACAATATTGGGAGATTAACTCACACGTGACTTGACAAAAACTCCGCCACAAAATTACTTCTCATCGGTGATGTCGTTGTTGGCCGCGACGTGTGATTGCTGGTAAAACCTTGCGCCAGTAATATCCTTCACCCTCTTGATTGACGCCTTTCCATAGGCCTCTTATCATGTTAGATAATGGTCTCTTGGGCCCAATCGTGGGAGATAATGGCCTCCTACGCCTCCATATCATAGATAAAGGTCTCCTATGCTTCACCTAGGAGATAAGGCCTCGAGGCTCTCCTTTCACTAACCTGGAAGAAATCGCCCTTACCTCTACCCTGGGAGACAGAGGTGACCATCCTCAGGGAGACAACTAACGGGGGGGGAATTCAATTAACAGTGTATTTTTAGACAATATCGTGTGTGGGGAGAGAGGAATGAGTTAAGGAGGAACAGAGGAAGAAGAGAGAGAGGGGAGGCAGGCAGGGAGAAAGATGGAAAAGGAGAGAGAGAGAGAGAGAGAGAGGTGTCCTCCTCACAAGAGCATAGAGTCGTGGTTATGAATATGAATCACAGCTCCAGAAGAACCTACAACGGGAAGGAGGACAACAACAACAAAATATTCCACTTATCCGGCTAACGAAGTAGCGACAGCAGAGGTGGGGGTCTTATTATTCTGTCTGTCTTGTCTGTCTGTCTGTTTGTCTGTCTGTCTGTTTGCATTTCTGTTTCTCTGTCTGTCTCTTTCTGTTCCTTATTTACTTGTGCTTTGTCTTCTCTCTTTTTCTCTTCCTCCTCCTTTCTTTTCTCCTTTCTGTTGACGTTATTCTCCCTCCTCCTGCAAATTCTCACCTTTCATTCCTATCTCTCATACTTCTCCTTACCTCTCCTCTCCCCATTTATCTATATTCTCTCTCTCTTCTTCGTGTTTGTTTTGTTTTACAGAGTCCTCACATGTCACCTGGATCCTCACCTGTGCAGCTAATTAACCCTTATATATTCCTTTGACAAGACCCATCGCTATGTCTCTCTCTCTCCACACACACACACACACACACGTCTTCTGGAGTGAGGTTGGAGGAATACTGGAACACTTTGACTGGTTTGTTGATGTGTCTGCCACATGTAAGACCCTGCAGTGTTCTGCCTCTCCTTTCTATTCTTCCTCCTTTCCTTCCACATCTGCCACTCTCCCTCCTCTCTCTCCCCTCCCTTCTTTCCTTCTTTCATACACGCCCATTCTTCCTTCACACTCCCCATCTGTCTAATCCTTCCTCCTTCCTATCCATCTTACTTCTCTATCTCTATATGTTTCATTGTCCTTGTTGGGGGTCGTTGGTCAGTTCTGGTCGCAGGTCGAACCGGACCGAGGTCATATTTAAAGTTCATTGTGGGTCATCTTGCCCCATCAGAGGTCATCTTGCCCACCAGAGGTCATCTTGCCCCACCAGAGGTCACTTTCTCGTCCCACCAGAGGTCATCTTGCCCACCAGAGCAGGTTTGGGCAAACAATCAAAAGTGAACAACCTGACCCACTAAAAGCCACTACTAAATATTAAGAGGCAAAAAAAAATGAAAAAATCAGCCAAAGTCAATATAGCCGAGCACAGGTTGACAGGAGCCATCACTCAGGGTTTAACAAGGAGTGCTGGAAGCTGACACTGGCTGACGGGGGTATAAACATCATACCAGGGCGATACAGGTCAGCAGATAGCGATGGTTATTATTAGAGGTGAAGCAGAGGTCGCTTAGTCATTATATTTCGTCATAGGTCATTACGATTCACCAAGGTCAAGGTGATTCGCCATAGGTCATCGGGGGACACAACAGCGGTACAGAGAGAGAGAGAGAGAGAGAGGGATTCAAGCTCTATTCGCCCCATGACCCGTAATATCTAAAGTGAAGAGAGGCTAAGGGATTACACTCTGTCTCTAGCGTCCGGTAGTGTACTGGTCGACATTGGAAGAGGTGAGGTGAGAGAGGTGGAGAGGAGAGGAGGTGAGGGGAGAGGTGAGAGGAGAGGAGGGTGAGGGAGAGGTGGAGAGGAGAGGAGAGGTGAGGGACAGGTGAGAGAGAGGGAGGTGAGGGTAGAGGTGGAGAGAGAGGAGAGGGGGAGGGAGGGGAGGTGAGAGAAGAGGAGGGTGGGAGGGAGAGAGGAGAGGAGAGGAGAGGTGAGGGAGAGGTGAGAGAAGAGGAGAGGTGAGGGGAGAGGTGAGAGAAGAGGAGAGGTGAGGGGAGAGGTGAGAGAGAGGTGAGGAGGGGAGAGGGGTGAGAGAGAGGAGAGGTGAGGGAGAGGAGAGAAGAGGGAGAGGTGTGGAGGGGAGAGGTGAGAGGAGAGGGAGAGGTGGAGGGGAGAGGTGGAGAGGGAGAGGAGAGGGGTGAGGGGAGAGGTGAGGAGAAGAAGAGAGGTGAGGGGAGAGGGGTGAGGAAGAGGAGAGAGGTGGGAGGGGAGAGGTGAGGGGAGAGGTGGAGAGGAGAGGAGAGGTGAGAGGGGAGAGGTGGGAGAGAGGAGAGGTGAGGGAGAGGTGAGGGGAGAGAGAGAGAGGAGGAGGTGAGGGGAGAGGTGAGAGAAGAGGGAGAGGTGAGGGGAGGTGGGAGAGAAGGAGGAGAGGTGAGGGGAGGTGGAGAGGAGGAGAGAGGTGAGGGGAGAGGAGAGAAGAGGAGAGGTGGAGGGGAGAGGTGAGAGGAGAGGAGAGGTGAGGGAGAGGTGAGAGAGAGGAGAGGAGGGGAGGGAGAGGAGAGGTGAGAGAGGAAGAAGGAAGAGGAAACACGAGGGAAGAGGAAGACAGTCAGTATGTCATATAACATTATTACCAGCCAGTGTTGACGTGCTGGCCTGGACTTAGCCAACAGGTCGACAAACTGCGTGACCAAGTCGGGGGATTAGGAGGTGGAGAGCTGCTAGTCTGGCTCCGAGTGGCGGGCATATGTATTCTCGAGGCTGTGATCCTTGTGGGTATGGTGTGGTGGTCCTGGAGTCCTCGAGGGGTGTGGTGGTCCTGGGTAGTCTCGAGGGGTGTGGTGGTCCTGGGTAGTCTCGAGGGGTGTGGTGGTCCTGGGTAGTCCTCGAGGGGGTGTGGTGGTCCTGGGTAGTCCTCGAGGGGTGTGGTGGTTCTGGGTTGTCCTCGAAGTGGTGTAGTGGTCCTGGGTAGTCCTCTAGGGTGTGGTGGTCCCGTAGTCCTCTAGGGGGTGTGGTGGTTCTGTAGTCCTCGAGGGGGTGTGGTGGTCCTGGGTAGTCCCCGAGGCGGTGTGGTGGTCTGGGTAGTCCTCGAGGGGTGTGGTGGTCCTGGATAGCCTCGAGGGGTGTGGTGGTCCTGGGTAGTCCTCGAGGGGTGTGGTGGTCCTGGGTAGTCCTCGAGGGGTGTGGTGGTTCTGGGTAGTCCTCGAAGTGGTGTAGTGGTCCTGGGTAGTCCTCGAGGGGGGTGTGGTGGTCCTGGGTAGTCCTCGAGGGGTGTGGTGGTTCTGGGTAGTCCTCGAGGGGTGGTGGTCCTGGGTAGTCCTCGAGGGGTGTGGTGGTCCTGGGTAGTCCTCGAGGGTTGTGGTGGTCCTGGGTAGTCCTCGAGGGGGTGTGGTGGTCCTGGGTAGTCCTCGAGGGGTGTGGTGGTCCTGGGTAGTCCTCGAGGGGTGTGGTGGTCCTGTAGTCCTCGAGGGGTGTGGTGGTTCTGGGTAGTCCTCAAGTGGTATGCGTGGTCCTGGGTAGTCCTCGAAGTGGTGTAGTGGTCGGGTAGTCCTCGAGGGGGTATGGTGGTCCTGGGTAGTCCTCGAGAGGGGGGGATGTGAGATTATTGTTCCGTGTGTGTGTGTATGTCCGTCCGTCCGTCCGTCCGTCTGTCTGGAAACGTACCATCAGACGAGAACATACTGTACCTAAACGCTTTTCCACTTGTTACACGGTAGCCATTACATTACGGACCTGTCTTGAACATAGCCCAAACACAGGCCAGTTTTAAAAGACTATATCTCTCAACTTGAAATACATATTCAGTGTTATAGAGAGAGAGAGAGAGAGAGAGAGAGAGAGAGAGAGAGAGAGAGAGAGAGAGAGAGAGAGAGAGAAAGAGAGAGAGAGAGAGAGAGAGTGTTATAGAGAGAGAGAGAGAGAGAGAGAGAGAGAGAGAGAGAGAGAGAGAGAGAGAGAGAGAGAGAGAGAAAGAAATCCCTCTACTCGACAGTTCACTAATGGTAATCCAATGTTTTATGAAGCGGAAATGTAGACACACATACACTCGATTTTCTGTTACAATACCAAATAAAAGTTGACTCTCTAAGATGAACCTGTTAATGTATTATCTAGTATGAATGGGTTCACTGGGGGGAAAAAATGTTGAGTTTTAAGTTTTAACATAAGTCCCAGGTCAGGCCATGAAAGGTTTGGATCTGACCCCAAGGGAAATAATGTTTTGGGGTCGCCTCGTCCATTTCAAGCCTCTGGGGTCGTTTAGGTTTTAGGGAGAAGCTGGGGTCGTTTAAGTCCAGGGAGATGGTGAGGTCGTTTTAGTCCAGGGAGATGAAGTCGTTTTAGTTCAGGGAGATGGTGAAATCGTTTAAGTCCTAAATTCAGGACTTCATCTATCACTAAAATCAAAAGTTTGTTGATATCTAATAGTCTCACTGCTCTTTATTCCTCTTGAGATAATAGTCGACTTCCTCCTAACAAGCGAGTGAATCACCTCCTTGGGGACTCCTCCATAAACCCCGCTGGAAGTATATGAGACGAGTTGGCAAGGTGTTGGTAAAGGCAGTTTCTAAGTGATTAATGTTCACCTTCATATGTCGGATTGCTAATTGGATTTTTTTTTGGGGGGGGAATGATCTTTTAATTGTTTTATAACCTGTTAATTAGAGACGGGTGTTCTTTTACCTGGATTTTATATTGCAGTTTAATTTGCCAAAAAGTAATTCACGTGACAGAGCTCTATACAAAAGAGTAATTTAACAAAAGTAATTCACGTAATTCACCTTTATAATAGACAGATTCACCAGACTAATTCACGTACTTGACCACGTTATTGGACATTGACTTAACAGGAAAAAAAAAACGAAATTCACTTCCGTACTGCATATTATATGACAGAAATAATTATTCGCCACTGACAGCTTCATTACTTATTCGTAAAGTGGAAACTCGTGTAAGGTAAACGTTGTAGAGACAAGTTTCATTGATTGAGACAGGTGAACCTTCACTCACCTGGGGATGGGTTGATTAAGGCAGGTGAACAGGTAAATATTAGTTGGAATTTTTTTTATGGATAGAAAAGTAGGCTCTCTCTCTCTCTCTCTCTCTCTCTCTCTCTCTCTCTCTCTCTCTCTCTCTCTCTCTCTCTCTCTCTCTCTCTCTCGTTGTCCACTTATTAATCCTGAAATTATAATGTTTATTTACATAGTATTTAACTGCTTCATGTCTCTTGAGTATTATAAAGGACCGTCACAATGTATTCCTCTTGAAGTCCTAAACAGGATAACTACGGCTTGTTGACATAGTGGTTTGTTAAGTGAAGTTTGATCTAGATTTCTAGGATGTTTTAAATTAGAGAAAATTTGATAATATTTGTGTTTTATTGTTGATAAGAAATGAAACGATAATAATTGTAATTGGTGTTGAAATTATTTACATTACGAGACGAAAACTGTATGAGACATATTGAATATTACCTGCAGATTAAACCCCCCATACTTCACCTGATGATTCAACACTCTTAAACACTAGCCTAACCTAGCCTAACCTAACCTAACCTAGCCTAACCAAACCAAACCAAACCAAACCAAACCTAACCAAACCAAACCAAACCAAACCAAACCAAACCTAACCAAACCAAACCTAACCAAACCAAACCAAACCAAACCAAACCAAACCAAACCAAACCAAACCAAACCAAACCAAACCTAACCAAACCCAACCAAACCAAACCAAACCAAACCTAACCAAACCCAAACCAAACCTAACCAAACCAAACCAAACCAAACCAAACCAAACCAAACCAAACCAAACCAAACCAAACCAAACCAAACCCAACCAAACCAAACCAAACCAAACCAAACCAAACCAACCAAACCAAACCCAACCAAACCTAACCAAACCTAACCAAACCAAACCAAACCGCAAACCTAACCAAACCAAACCAAACCCAACCAAACCCAACCAAACCAAACCAAACCAAACCAAACCAAACCAAACCAAACCAAACCCAACCAAACCAAACCAAACCCAACCAAACCAAACCAAACCAAACCAAACCTAACCAAACCTAACCTAACCTAACCAAACCAAACCAAACCAAACCAAAACCAAACCAAACCAAACCAAACCAAACCAAACCTAACCAAACCCAACCTAGCCTAACCTAACCTAACCTAGCCTAACCAAACCAAACCAAACCAAACCAAACCTAACCAAACCAAACCAAACCAAACCAAACCAAACCTAACCAAACCAAACCTAACCAAACCAAACCAAACCAAACCTAACCAAACCAAACCTAACCTAACCTAACCTAATCATCACCTGATCCAAAAATAAATAAATAAATGTATTTGGACTAATAGAATAAATTTGTTTACAATGAAATAATTATAGGTTGTCATAAATACAACACTAATTATAATAAACATAAACTATCGGGTAAATTAGGGAAGAGTTTTACGTGTTCTGTAAATATTTTGACCTGGGTAAAAAAAACTGGTTCCTGCAGAGAACTAATTTACCGGGAATAGTTTATGTGTGTGTGTGTGTGTGTGTGTGTGTGTGTGTGTGTGTGTGTGTGTGTGTGTGCTATTATAATTTACCACCACAGCAACTACCACCATTTCCTACACCACTAAGCATTACCACCACAACTACCACCACCACACCACCGCATTACCACCAACACTACTACCACAACCACCACCACCACAACTACCACAACCACCACCACCACAACTACCACCACCACAACCACCACCACCACAGCTACCACCACCCCACCCACAGCTCACACCACACACCACCACCAACACTACACAACCACCACCACCACATTACCACCACCAATACTACCACCACCACCACCACCACCACAACCACCACCACCACCATTCTACCTTGTCCTCTAGTTCTGGATATACCAAACACCGGCAGTACCAACGTGAACGGCCAGGTGAACGGCTCGGTAAGCGGCTTAGTATACAACTTTGTGAACGGCATAGTGAACGGCTTAATAAAGAGCTTAGAGAACTTTGGTGAACGGCTTAGTTTACTAACATAGAACGTAACTTGAGGAACCCCATAGCGAACCTGAAGGTGAACGTGAGAGTGAACGAGTTGGGTGAACGTGTGGGCGGTGAACGAATGGGTAAATGTGAGAGTGAACGAGTTGGGTGAACGGGTGAGCGGCACAGGGCTGCAGTAAGCTAGGGTCATAATTTACACGGAGGCGTAGACCAAGGATGACTAGAGGCCAGGCACAGGTAATAACAGTATTAATTAGTCACGTCTGTAGGTGAGGGATCAGGGCTAATTAAGGTTTCCAGGTGTGTTGTGTACAGGTGTGTGTGTGTGTGTGTGTGTACAGGTATGTGTGTTGTGTACAGGTGTGTGTGTGTGTGTGTGTTTGTTGTGTACAGGTATGCGTTGTCTACCGGAGGATGTGGTGTGTACTGGTGGATGATAGTGGATGAGCTAGTTTGCTGTGTCTGCTGATGAGTGGTTGATGGTGGATGTGTTTACTGCTGGGTGATGCTGAGACAAAGCTGGATATTGCTGGGAGGAGGTGCTGGGTAGGTGATGCTGGGAGATGCTGGATGGGTAATGCTGGATGGTGCTGAGTGGGTGATGCTGGGAGATAGTTGGGGGTGCTGAATATTGCTAGGAGAGGGTCCCTTACAGTCGCAGGAATGAAGAAATACAATTAATGTTTAATCTCTCTCTCTCTCTCTCTCTCACAACTAACGAATCAGTGGTCCTCGTTCGGCCAGTCAACCCCAGCAAGTACTTGAGAATTGAGATTGTTAAAGAAAACGGTTCAGGCCATAGGAGGGACTCAAACAGTAAGCGTTGTGAAGCGTATGTTGAAATTGGGTAACGGGTGAGCCAATATAGAGCCTTTACGGTTCTGTACCTGACAAATTGGTTTACTGGGGTTTGTAAGGTAAGGGGTTATGTATTGGCGTTTGGGATTTTTGGGTTTTAGGGTAGGGAAGGGGTTTTGTGGATAGGTTAAGGGGTTTTGTGGATAGGTTAAGGGGTTTTGTGGATAGGTTAAGGGGTTTTGTGGATAGGTTAAGGGGTTTTGTGGATAGGTTAAGGGGTTTTGTGGATAGGTTAAGGGGTTTTGTGGATAGGTTAAGGGGTTTTGTGGATAGGATAAGGGGTTTCTAATTATGCTGGAGGACAATACGGCTTGGAGAAGAGGATGCTATAGACACGCTTTAGTGTAGAGAAACAATCCATAAACTTTATCCAAGGTCTTGAGAAAGTTGGATAAATATCACCATTCCCTTCATAATGGGATATTAATGGGGTGATGGCCGGAGAATCAAGGGGTGACTGAGGGGGGGGGAGGAGGGAGGGTGGTGGTGGTGTTGCGGCGGAGGTGAGGGGAGGCTGGCTGGCTGGCGGAGGGCTTTAAAGGGTTTCATTCCACAGGTGAGCTCTCAGTACCGGGCTAGCCCAGGGTGCGGGAGGACATGGGGAAGTCCTACTCAGGTGATCACCCATCGACAATCGTAACTTAAAAGTGTTTACCATACTCTCGTCTGAGGACAATAGCTGCCGAAACTCGCTTATTTTCCTTAAAACAAAAACATGAACGAATCTTTGACTCGTGTTGACGTTTACGTCTTGGCACATGCTGGGGAGGAGATCAGACGCGAGTGAGAGATAGATTTTTTAAACCAGACCAACTCAAGCCGTCTGAGGTGAACGATCGCCTCTTTTATACCCACGGAGTAGAGCCGCGTGCTGGCCTGCCTCAGTTTTGAGATGCCTGTGTTGATGAGGACCTGGTTGCCTGGCGCTGGTGCCGTGGACCTGGTGACCTGGCACCTGTGCCGTGGACCTGGTAGCCTGGCGCTGGTGCCGTGGGCCTGGTGACCTGGCACCTGTGCTGTGGACCTGGTAGCCTGGCACTGGTGCCGTGGGCCTGGTGACCTGGCACCTGTGCTATGGACCTGGTAGCCTGACACTGGTGCCGTGGGCCTGGTGACCTGGCACCTGTGCTGTGGACCTGGTAGCCTGGCACTGGTGCCGTGGGCCTGGTGACCTGGCACCTGTGCTGTGGACCTGGTAGCCTGGCACTGGTGCCGTGGGCCTGGTGACCTGTCACCTGTGCTGTGGACCTGGTAGCCTGGCACTGGTGCCGTGGGCCTGGTGACCTGGCACCTGTGCTGTGGACCTGGTAGCCTGGCACTGGTGCCGTGGGCCTGGTGACCTGGCACCTGTGCTGCACCCGGGTAGCCTGGACACTGGTGCCGTGGGGCCTGGTGGACTCCCCGGCACCTGTGCTGTGGGACCTGGTAGCCTGGCACCTGTGCTGTGGACCTGGTAGCCTGGCACCTGTGCTGTGGAACTGGTAGCCTGGCACTGGTGCCGTGGGCCTGGTGACCTGGCACCTGTGCTGTGGACCTGGTAGCCTGGCACCTGTGCTGTGGACCTGGTATCCTGGCACTGGTGCCGTGGGCCTGGTGACCTGGCACCTGTGCTGTGGACCTGGTAGCCTGGCACCTGTGCTGTGGAACTGGTATCCTGGCACTGGTGCCGTGGGCCTGGTGACCTGGCACCTGTGCTGTGGACCTGGTAGCCTGGCACCTGTGCTGTGGACCTGGTATCCTGGCACTGGTGCCGTGGGCCCGGTGACCTGGCACTCAAAGGTGGACCTGGTAGCCTGACACTGGTGCCGTGGGCCCGGGTGACCTGGCACCTGTGCTGTGGACCTGCAGTTCGACACTGGTGCCGTGGGCCTGGTGACCTGGCACTGTGCTGTGGACTCCAGAAGCACTGTGCCGGGGCCTGGTGACTCTGCACCAAAGTGTGGGATCTGGTGAAGCCTGGCACTGTGCCGTGGGCTCCAGGACCTGGCACCCAAAGGGACTCAGGTGAAGCCTGGCACCTGTGCTGTGGACCTGGTATCCTGGCACTGGTGCCGTGGGCCCGGTGACCTGGCACCAGTGCTCTCGATGACCTGGGTGTCAAGGACCTGGTAGCTTAGCACCTGGTAACATGTCGGTATTCCAGTTGAAAATATTAAGCCAAGTAAAGGCCGCGACCTCTGACGCCACGAGTCCCCGAGAGTCGACCGCCGGAGAAGGACGCCGTCAGGATGTATACGCCGCTGACCTGTACGTAATTCTTCCTCGGTACAGAAAACACCAGAGGAAGCCACTCGTGTAGCTACTGATGGTGCTTCAGTGCTTCACATATACACAGTAGACAAAGCTGGAATATCATTGGTTATCCTGTTGGTTGGCCCTCCTATTCTTAGTTGCTATTGGCGGGGAAAAAGACGCGGTATAACTTGCTATGTTTTGAAGTGATCATAAGAAGGCGTTTACGATATATATCATCGTCCGTAAACAAAGGAACATCAGGTTACGTGGTTCTTAGTAGAGCCAAGAACTGTCCGTCTCCGCCCGCTAGTAACACCAAATAAGAAAATTACGACAAAAATTTAATGAAAATAGTTCTTGAAAATGTACTGTAAACTGGGTAATATTATGAGTGCTAAAAACCGACGTTACTACGCTATTCTTATACAAAAGGTTATATAAAGGTTGAATTACTTACATACATACATACATACATACATACATACATACATACATACATACATACATACAAGACACCATTTAGTCTATATTTGTCAGTAATAATCATCTGACTCTTATAAAATTCTCAGGTTTTGATAATTATCGTAATTATTTCTCCGCCTCTCGAGTTACCTGACGTTAAATACATAGATTTTCTTCTCTTCTCTTTTTTGACTCCACTAAGTCCACTTTTGTTCTTAGAAGTAAATAGTTTTTGCATTTTGTCTTTCTCTCTCTCTTTAGGTCTCATCATGTCACGCCATTCCGATGCTAAAGGTCATTTGTGTGCATAAACAAATACATATTTTCTGCTGCATGCTTAAAAGGTGTGTGTGTGTGTGTGTGTGTGTGTGTGTGTGTGTGTGTGTGTGTGTGTGTGTGTATGTGTAGCGCGTGTGCGTGTGTGTGTGTGTGTGTGTGTGTGTGTGTACAATATATTTCTGTGTTTGTTTACTATTTTATATGTGTTTTTTTATCATTGTGTTTTGAAACGTTTTATGAGACAGGATTTAGACAGATATTTAAACGTTTTGACAGAATACTTGACCCTGTTGAAGACAAACAAACAAACACATTCCTCAACTAGTCTAATTATCTCATTTCTAATTAAGTAAAGAAAAAATAGATTAAATGACGCTATAATCACTGTCTCATTAGTGAACGAAGTAATTTAGTCTTGTATTGAGATATTTACGAGGTCTTTGGCATTAAATGGTACTCTCTCTCTCTCTCTCTCTCTCGCTCTCGCTCTCGCTCTCTCTCTCGCTCTCTCTCTCTCTCTCTCTCGCTCTCTCTCTCTCTCTGTTTAATCTCTGTTTCTCTAATATCTTTCCTCTCTCTCTCTCTCTCTCTCTCTCTCTCTCTCAATGGTCATGTTTTATACATTGTAAAATATCTCGCCCATTCTTCTTCTCATTATAAAGTCATTGTAATTAGTCATCATTCATCATCTCATTGTAGTCATTGTAAATCGTAGTACACATTCATAATTCCTCTTTTCATTATAAGTAGTCATTGTGAATCATTGTAAATAGTCATCAGCTATATTCTCATTAAAAATCATTGTAAAGTCATTGTACATCATTGTCAACAATCATTATACCTATTTTCATTATAAATCGTCATTGTAAATAATCATTCATCATTGTAAATCATTGTAAACTTATACTTGATATTTTGATGCGTTGTTTATGGAATAGTTTGAGGTTTTTTGTATAATATATAGATCCATTAACCTCTTGTGTTCCCTCTGAGCTGAATGAAACCGCCTAAATATAATAGTGAAGTAGTGAATTCATTATCATTGTAATTATGTATTGGAATATATATTTATGTGGGTATTGAATAATTTGATTTGTCAGTGAATATCTCTTTATCTATCTATCTATCTATCTATCTATCTATCTATCTATCTATCTATCTATCTATCTATCGCCTCCAGTAGGTTGTTTGTACGAGAAGGTTGTAGTTGTTATGTTGTGATAAGGGGTGGTGGTGGTGGTGGTGGTGGTGGTGGTGGTGGTGGTGGTGGTAGGGGTAGGGGTTGATTGGGGCATTGTTTGGTTGTTTGTGGAGTTGATTGTTTATGTTGTGATTGTGGGGATTTGTTTGTTTATGGAGGTGTTGTTTGTTTACCTGGTTGTTGATTATAGGAGTTACTCATGTTGCTATATAACCCGGACCTTGTGTCGTAAAAAAAAAATAATAATTTATCCAGGTAAATTTAGTTACATACACACACCTTACCTGTAATTAAACCTTACCATTAAACTAGATGGGTTAAAACAGGTTAACCACGAGCCTTATAAACCATAAGAATAAAACAAAAACAAAGAAATAAAACTAAATAAAAATAATTAAAAATATATAAAAAAGTTAGATAATTTTGATTAAGTTAATATTGTCTAACCTAACCTAACCTAACCTAACCTAACCTAACCTAACCTAACCTAACCTAACCTAACCTAACCTAACCTACATACAGAATAATCCAACACTCGTGGTTTATTTATTCTGTTGTGGTGAAAAATACAGTATGGCTGAAATATACAGTTGGTGTTATAGATAGTGAAAAACTACAATATGGCTAGTGAATGAAAAAGATTACCGGAGGCTTTTTCAATTACATGCAGCAATTACATACAGCTGACGACCCTAGTTTTTGTTGCATGTTGCAGAGGAGAGAGAGAGAGAGAGAGAGAGAGAGAGAGAGAGAGAGAGAGAGAAACCATTTAAATCCCAAATCCAAGATAAGTCAATATACCGGGAACGCTTCAGCTACAGATAATTAAATATAGTGTATATAATTTTTGTTTTTTATATATAGGATGGTTCTCTCCCGTGGCTGTGAATAAAACAGGTAGAACGGGCTGCCTCACCTGGGGAAAAAACACAGGTGGAAGTGTTTGTTGACGGGCTGGGCTGGTAGGGAGAGAGAGAGAGAGAGAGAGAGAGAGAGAGAGAGAGAGAGAATATTTTAAAAGCAAGAAAACTGAGGGGAAAAAAATAGCCTTGAATTTTTATCTTAAACACAAATATATCTTCACTACTTAACTCCTACACCTGAAGAACTTATCACTGGGGTGTGAGCTAAATGTAGTGAGTCAAGAACGAAATACTTTTATACTTTTTCCAATTATTTATTTTTTTTTTTTACTTTTTTATCACTTACAATTCACGTTTATTTGTGTGTTTCGATTTTTGGGCCACATTTTCAAACACATACAATTCTTTCCCTTCTTGTTTATTATCGTTTTTGCTATTCCCTTGTTTATTGTTAGTTGTGTCTATATCGGGTGTTCTTTCTTCCTCTCTTCTTTACGGTTATTTGGTACTTTGTTTATTGCCTTGTTATTGTCCTCTCTCTCTCAAAATTCATCGTCTCTAGCTCTCTTTCTCACT